AGTAGATGAGACCTTTAGCCAGTGCGGTACCACAGTTAGTTTGGGGTCTTTAACGTGTATCAAGCAGTAGCAGTACACGACCGCACGCCGGTACGATGCTCATACACATCTAAACAAAAAGGTAAGGGGATTGAACCCAGAATCCCTAGGTTCTGCCGCGCGAGTTTTCGGACCCCTGCTACCAACCGATTCCCCCTTTTCGTTCGTTCACAGCGTGCTTGGGAGAAAATTCCAAGCCTTTTGCACACTGTGAGACCTTTTACCGTTCTCTAACATTGCCCGAACACAAACTATTTCAAAGGCGCAGAGGAACTAAGGACAATTTATTCAAGGCTGGTTCTTTATAGAACTTTTAACTTACACAATGCACCCATATGATATCTACTTCGCGGCACAAATCGAATAGAATATTTCGTAATATTAGGTGTCTTTTTTTTTATAAAAATTACAATACGAGTGTATCTTATACTTTAATATAACGTTAACATTTGACGATCTTAAATGTTTGTCGCCTAAGTTAGTGTTTTCAGAACTGAGGTCAGATATGGCTCCGTTAAGAGCGCTTCTCCAGACGTGCGGGTGCACCGCGGCAAAGCGGCACTGGTATTGGCAGGGGAGGCGTTGCGGGGGCCGCTTTCCCGCAGAGCGCCTGCTACCCAGAGGGAAAGCGCTCTTGCAGGCCCTTCTTTTGCGCGCGCGTTTTGAAGGGGCTTTATGTCTGCACGAGTCAAGGCCCGTTCACACACTTGCATTTTCTTAGGATCGTGTGCCTTCAAAACTTCTTAAAATCAAGAAGGACGAGAGAACACGTGACATGCCATCTATGAGGTCACCCGGAACTCCCTTTCACTAGAGTTAAGGTTTGGCGATATTTGCGAGATAAAACGTATGAACTATCAATAAACAATAATCAAAAGTATTTAGGAAAATGATGCGAAAAAAAAAGAGAAAGCAGGAACTGTGTTTTACGGCAACTCGATGGATGGCGCAAGTTGTCTAAAACTTTCTGCCTCTTCAGGGCCAGATAACGTATCGTCCAAAATCATAAGACATACTAGACATGTATCAGGTCAAATTCGTGAATTGGTATTTATTCAGTCACTACCCCAGGGTCGGCTTCTTGCTGACTGGAAAATGGGCCAAATCGTTGCGGTCCAAAAAAATGGGGATCACTCCTCGCCCCCCCCCCCCCCCCCCCCCCAGTCGTCCCATTTCGCTGACTTCAGTTCCATGCAAACTTCACGAACAGATTATTTCCTCCTGCATTATGGTACACATCGCGAGACTGTTAGCGCGAATTTTACTTCTAAATAGTATTAGCGAGCACGAAATTTTATCGCTCACATTATAGAACTAAATGAGCTCTTTCCGTAGCAGTGATAACACTGATGACATCCCTTGATCTCAAAGAGAAAAACTGGGAAAACCGGCGATCGCTTGTTCGCGCTAACAGTGTCGCACTCTGTACTTTTGAATCGGAATTACTTTCTCTATGAACACCAACATGTCTTTCGCCAAGGACATTCGTGCAAGACATAACTCTTTGAATTTACTCATGACATGCACGTAACATTCAATCTCGTAACGAAACCGACGCAATAGTTTTAGACATTTCTCAAGGTATTTGATTGTGTTCCTCATCTTCGTCTAATTTCGAAACTTCCTCGCCTTCATTTAGATACTTTGGTCACATCATGGATACAAGGTTCTTTCACTTCGCGTCTACAATACTCCGTCTTAAATGAATCTAATTTAATTAATGTGACATCTGGTGTACGTCAAGGCACAGTCATTGGTCCAGTCCTGTTTATAATTTATATTATTGATATTCTTAGTTAAAGTTTTTCTAACATACGTATATTCGCTGATGATTGTATTGTATCGCCAAATTACTTCCCCTAATGACCAAGCACTGCTTCAAGAAGACATAAATCATGTTCTTATATCATGTAACAACGTTAAATAAATTTAAGTGCAAAGTCATACGCTTCTCTCGAAAAAAAGTTCCTTCCTCATTTTCATGCACGCTAGATAGCGAGATCATCGAAATTTTCGATAAGTACAAATATCTCGGAGTCGTCCTAACTTCTGATATGACATAAATTAGCCACATTTACACCACCATTTCTTCGAATGCCGCAAATACGTTTGACTGCGTACTGCGCTGCCTCAGTGCTGCCCCACTTAAACTCAGAAAACTTACATATGAAACTTTTATTCGACCGAAATTGGAATACGCTGCTGCAATCTTGAATCCCCATTCAAAATGACCTAATCGCTCAGCTAGAAGCGGTTCAAAACACAGCAGCCCGCTACATTTTATCGAGCTACCATTATACTGCTATAGTCGGTGGCTGCTCCTCCCGCCTCTTTCCACTTTAGCAGAGCAAACAGAGGGAGAGGAGGTCGCATCTTCTCCAGCATCCGCTCTGCTAAAGTGGAAAGAGGTGGGAGGGGCCGCCACTTTACTTTTAACCGGTCACCGACTAAAGCATGGATGAAGAAAGAATAAGACAATTAAAACAGGGACAACACAAGATGTGGTTGTGTTGTCCCTGTTTTAATTGTTTTATTCTTTCTTCATCCATGACCTAAACCAAGGCGCTCTTCTCCCAAGCATACCGACTATAGCACCTCCGCGATATAAACGAGCTGAAATTTATCTTCCCTCGAATCACGTCGGTATTCCTGGAGCGGAGACTAGAATTCGGTGGACTACTCGATCAGAACACAAATGCAGCAGTTGCTCGATTGTGCACACTTTTTTCTAAAGGTTAACTAAACAATGAAACCGGATGGTTGCAATGTTACCGTGGGCGTCTGCGGGGAAGTGATAAAAGCGTCCCGCCAAGCGTCCACTCCTATCAGTGCACTTCGGCCCGCGTCCCCACTTGAGAGATTGGAAAAGGATCACGAGACTTTTACCTATGGTAACTTAGCCTAGCGTGACAGCCGCGTATCTCGCGTCCAAGGGTGAGTCTGTAGTTAGTCGTATCCCGCGTTCAATCAGGTTTGGGAAGCCAGTGGTTATCTGGGAACACGCGCTCTCTTCTCGACCGGAAAGATACCGGTGAAACCCAGAGATGACTAACCGGGTGGGCGTTGTTACGAAGTGAATCGAGGAATTTTCGTGGTGACCGACGACCCTCTGAGCTGTTTAACCCGGACGGGAAGCCGTGCAAGGCGATACCTTCATCCTTTTAGCTGAGCTGAGCTATATGGGCTATATGGGTCGAGCTGAGCTATATGGGTTATAATTAGAAACCTCGAACGCTAAACAAAACAGGGAAATGAAAGTATACCGAAGCTTAACGCCGTGTCGACTGTATGTATGTTGTTTTTCGTGTATAGTTTTATGACGTGTGAGCCTTCTTTTTGTAGCCAATGAATATCTAGGTGCTACAACAACGCCAACTAATTTGCGTATTTGCTGTCTCACCAGTGAGAAAAAAGTTTACAGGCTGCAAGCATCCCTAAACATATACATCCCTAAACATATATTGGTCAACATATTCTGTTCGCCATCTGTCTGGTCAGAGACAGTTTCTTTTCAGAAAAGCTCATATATCCAGCTTTTCTGCGGCACGAAGCTCCCTGTAGTGAAAGTGAGAAATGAGCCATGTTCATTTTGTCTTGCTTGAGGGATGGCGGTTTTTCTTCTGTCGACAGTTAGGGGGTGTTGCTGTTTATAGCGAAGACTGAAAATCAAATTTTTCGTTGTGTTTCGAGCAGGTGTTGTGTTTGTTTCCTTTTTCGCGTCCCCTCGTCTCCGAGCTTTTACAGTATGATCGCTCACAAACTCGCCTGCACAATCACCCTTATTTTTGTGATGTTTTATTAGACCTCGTATATAGTAGACCAATAAATAAATATAGTGCACCTTGTTGAATGCATATTAATGAAACTGAATTCAATTGAAATGAGTATTAAGGAACACACAGGGTCAATAAAATGACGCGTTTTTTTGGTATGAAAAGTTTGAAATTGCGAGTCTGCTATGTGTGCCTTCTCGTATGTCCTGCTCCTTACAATCGCGTGTTAACACTTGTCATTTATTGCAACCAAAATAGGACTTGCGACATGTAATGCGCAAAAATTATATTTATTTGTCTTTTGATTTTCTGGGGACGATTACTGAGTACAACCGATTTATCGAAGAAAAAGGTAGTGTGAATGTTAGCACATTTATTGGAAGTTTGAAATTGTCATCACCGGTCTGATTATTTATTTTGTTTTACAACCAATGACAGATTTTTAATGTATGGCAATCATGACGCTCTGTGGGCGTTGTGCTCAGAATTGTTTAACAGCCGTTACACTCTTACCTGGGTTGAAAATGTATCTGCAGTATTTATAAATACACCAATAAAACGTTATGATATGTATTGTCATTGTATGGCAAATTGACCCGCTAATAAATCAGACTAACAGGTTTATTTTGACACTAAATGGCAAGCGAATAAGTGACAAACAAGTAACATTATGTACGTAAGTTTTTTTTGTTTTTTTTTAGAACAGCGGACTTGTTTGTTGCCTCTGAATGACTATGTTGAGAATATTAAAATGTCATTGAATGCACTTCAACATTTCCCCTGTTGACGCTTTTGTTTACTTTTGTAATGGCGAGAGGGATCTGGAAGCTATTCGGTCATTTCAGATGTTTTTACTTTAGGCGAATGTCTTTGCGTTAAAAATATACTCGTAAAAGTACTCCAAACTTTATTTCGGACAAAAAGACTGTAAACTAACAATTTAGTTTAATTTCGAGAAGAACGAAAACAAATTACCTGCTCCACTTGTCTTTTTATCTAAACAACATAATAACCGCATAATGGCGGTCTTTCTCCACAGGCAATGGAAAATTGATTAGTTCTATAAACAAAATTGTACTAGCTCTAAAATTAAATAATAATAATAAAAAAAAAATCTTAAATTACTTGTTAGCATTCTATACGGGATGAGCCTTCGCACCAAATCGGCGGCACGCCTATGCCCTTCAGCGGTCGACAAAGCCCCCTGCTCGGACCGAGCCCGCACGAGAGCCTCGCTTCCGGACTCCGCGGGGTGGGCGTATGCGTGCCGTCGGCGAGTGCCTCCGCGCTCTACACCCCGGGTGAGGGGCGTTGAACGAGCCGCCGTTATCGGCGTCTGAAGGGGCTTCAAAAGGCGAGCGTACCACCGACCGCGCCGCAGTAGTGTCCGACTCGCACCGACGACCCGCCATGCCCGTCGACCTGTACTTCACCACCGGGAGTCCCCCCTGCACCTTCGTGCGGGTGCTGGCCAAGAAGCTGGGCGTCCCGCTCACGCCGCACAAGATCGACCTCATGGCCAAGGAGCAGCTGAAGCCGGAGTTCGTCAAGGTACGAGCCCGCCTTTCTTTCTGATCTCTGAACCCTGAGACAAGGGAGAATGAAACTCCCGATAACGCGACTTCCTGTTCGGAGGCTTTAGACCGATGTTTTCGGACCAACTCCCCTGGATCCCTTCTCTTCTTGGAATTGAGTTGTGTGTTCGCTTTGACAGCGGGAAGTCGAGGCTTGTTCGCACACGAGCGACTGTTTACGAGCGAGTGCGTTAAAACCTCCTAAAACATCTTACAACAAGAAAACACACTAGCGCCCTCTTTTAGGTGACCCTGAAAGTGTTTGATTTCATTGCGAGATCAAATGTAGATACTATCTACGATAAATGGTAGTTCATAACATTCTCATTAAATTTTTAAAGCCAAACAATAAAAAAATAATGCGCAAAAAAAAAAAACACGATATGCCAAGTGTTTTACGGCGCCGGTGTGTCTTCTCTTCGAACCGATTTTAAAAGGTCGTAAGACGAACAGTCGTAAGGAATAGCAAGTGTGTGAACCATGCATTTACAGAAATACAAATCTTAATACTGAGTTCGAGAAGAGAAGCTGAAGACGCACAAAAAAGATGTAAATTTATCGTAAGAAAATGAAACATCAGTCCTCCTTCTTTGTAGTTTGACACATTACCAGACGATTTAATTAGTGCATCAAGGATCTGAAACGTACTTCTGTCTCTTATGCGTCTCCTCCATTTAATGTGATCGTGTTTTTTTTACATATATTTTTATTATTCGTTTTAATGTTTCCTCGTTGGTGTGTCGTACAGCGATGCCTTTGGTACGCAGGTGCGCCTATGTCGATGACTTTTAGGGGTTAATTCGACTTTTGTAGCGCATGGTGCGCTTTGAAAGTATTCCTGGTCCCGCGGACAAGTAGTTTTTGCTTATATAGGTAGGACCATTCAGGGAAATAAATTCTCAAAATAAAATCATCCTTTCTACGCTTCGTCTCGCCCTGAGTCTAGAGGCAGCCGACGCTTCGAGCAGATGGCACCAATCAGACAGCATGAAAAACGGACCGTCATGGTGTTTTTCATGTTTTTGTAAGTGTTCTGTGTACACTGAACCAATCATAGACATAAGGGCCCAGCGAATTGCGCTTTTCACGGTGCTTGACTGGTCTCAGTGACTCGTAGCGTCGACTGCGGTGAGACTTCAGCTGAAACAAAGTATTATAGAATTGTTTTCTTTTTATTTACCACGCTCGTTTCTCTCTTAGATATGCGCATGTTTTACCAATTTCGCATCTGTCACATGTCTTACCTCACTTTCTCACCCGGAGACGCGGAGGCCCGGACTGTGCAGTATCTACCAGGCAGTCTCTCCGACTTCCTTTATTTATCTCGATAAAACCGTGGAACGCTGTTTGCATTCCCAGTTTGTTAGCGGCTTTATCTGCTGGTGTCGGTATAACTTCGCACGCGTCAAAAGAGGTGAGGCAAGGGCACCTTATCTCGTCTGGAGAGGAAACTCTCACCTCGCGATAGGTGTGTTTTCCCTTTTTTCGTTTACCCTCGTCTCCAGACACGCAATAAACAAACCACTACGCGAAATGAAAAAAAAAGCGAGTCATTACAATTTGGAACAAGCAATATAATATAGAAAAGAAAAAATATGATAGACAGTCCCAATATATATATAAAAAAAACACTTGAGTTTCTTCAAGTAAAGTTCCTAGATAAGAGCTTCCTACAAGTAGCTACATTCTTTGAAGCGCCGACTGCAAAAACGGCGACTGAATGCCGCCATTTTGCTCCAGTGGAATGTGCTTTGTCATTTGTATTGGTTGTCGCTACTTGTAAAAGAACTTAAAAGGGACTTTATCTCCAAGGGGTGTGGCGAGAGCAAAACGCTGTTTTCCCGCATACCGTGAGAAGTTCCCCAATCCAAGATGGCGGCGCCCGTGCGCGGCTCTGGCGTCACGCGACGGTGGTGGCGCTGCTGTCCGAACGACATATGCGCTTCACCTCACTTAAATTTGTTTTCTGCGCACGCGCATTGCCCACACCTGGTGTGGGAACACGCGGGCTTGTTTGTGAATAGTACGTATCCGTACTTCCTACACAATGTGCCGATCCAATGTGACCCACTGGAAGCTTGCAGTTGCGTGGCGCCAATTAAGTTGTCCCTATAGTTTCTCGTTTCGCTCGTGGTAACCGTCTTGAACGCGTCCTTGACAGCGTTTGGCTTACCGATGTTTGTAAATACACGAAGCCATCTCCATTCGGCTGAAGTCGTCCTTCGGCTGTAAACTCAATTTGGCAAAAAGTTTCAATTCTGCTGGAGGTGAAAATTTGCCCTAGTTTCAGTTCGGCTGGAATTTTCAATTCGGCTGAACCTTTCAATTTGGCTACGGGATTTTTATTCGGCTGAAGGGATGTTGAAGTAGTCGGCTGCTCAGTTGAGCTGGGAGTTTCATTAAGAGAATTCGCTAATATGTCGTCTGTAAAACAAACAAAAAACAGTCATCTAATTTTAAACCTTTGACAGCATTCTTTTTATTTTTTTTAATTTTTGCTCAAAGTATACTAGCAAGTTCGTTTAGTGCTCTGATTTCTAATCAACAAGTTGGAGCAGCTTAGGAGGCTGCACAAAACATGGTAGTATTAGCGTTTATGTATGTGCACACTGTCCCACTGACCTGCATGCACACACAAGGTTCATACTTCGAAATAAAATGGTGTGTTAATGAAACTTATCGATCATGTGCAATTGTGGCTACCATATGCCGAAAAACTATCTGGAGAACGCATTTTTTGTATTTTAAATTAAGTCGCGGAAGCCGTAATTAATTTTATCGTTAAAGTGACCCTTTTCAGCAGTCAGCTTACGTAATTCCCCGCAACTTTAGGTCTACCCACCCTGTGCACAGTCAAACTCGACGCTTTAAGGGCGGCATTGCACAGCCTCTGCAAACACAAATTGAGGCGAAATGTCTTCGAAAGCTCAGAGAAGAAAGCGAGAAATTGATTCTAACAGATAAGCTCTTGCACTCCGCTTTTGATTCACAAAGTAGAGGGTGCAGCTTGGTTTTTCTTGATCTCTTATTGCCGCAACTAGTGCCCAAATAGTGGATCCTATGGGGCCGCCACTATAGGTGGCTCTTACTTTTGAAAAGGGTCTATATTCCCGCAATTGACCCTTAGGTCAATTGCGGGAATATAGACCCTTTTCAAAAGGACAGCTTCTGTTTTGATGCTCCAATGTATTCTTTTTTTTTTCTTAAAAATTATGATTACAGCTTAACCCTCAGCACACGGTGCCCACCATCAACGACAACGGATTCGTCCTGTGGGAAAGCCGGGCCATCGCCATGTACCTGCTGGACAAGTACGCCCCGGACAGTCCCCTATACCCCAAGGACATTCAGAAGCGGGCGCTCGTCAACCGCCTCGTCTTCTTCGAGTCCGGCTCCTTCTACCAGGCGCAGATGGGATACTTTGTGAGTCGGGGCCGCCTGTCTTTAGGTCGAATCGGATGGGACCCCGGCTCATAGATACAGCACGGTGTTGTGTTCGCTGCAGATACGACAGAATTACCTCCGGACACGAAACAACCACGTTTGATGCGTGTTTACTTCATGCACTTGGGTGCTCTGAACTTGTCTGCAGACAGTTATGGTTTGGTCAACCTGACAGGGCCGTAATGCGAGGAAAAAGCGTGCCCCGTACAGTGTTTAGCCACAATATTTTGTACGATGTATTATCAGTTCGACCGCGGCCTAAAGCTGGGGTCACACTTCTTATACATCATACAAAAGACAGTCTGCATACAAATTTGAATGCGAGTCACCGCGAGATTCGTGCTTCGAATGCCAAATTGCAATGAGTTAAAGGAGACACTTGACACGCGGCATTCGAACCACGGATATTGCGGGGACTCGTGTTTGCAGACTGTCCTTTGTATTATATATGAGCAGTGGGACCCTGGCTTTAGGAGACGCCGAAATCCTCCATCTCGCACGATTTTACGCGCCCCTCCTCCGAGCCCGTGGCTAAACAGCCGGTGCTGCGCCCGCTTCCCGCTCCGCAGAGGCCCCGGTGGTTCAAAGGCCAGGAGCCCGGCGGAGACCTGAAGGAGACATACGACAAGGCCCTGGCCAACGCCGTCACGCTCTTGGGCGACAACCAGTTCCTCGCCGGAGACACCCTCACCCTGGCCGACGTGGGCCTCGTCTGCTCGCTCGGGATCGCCATCGAGGTGGGCACCCTCCGATGTCCTTCCTGGAAAAATTACCCGATGAACTTTCCTCTTGGACCTATCCCAAACGCGCGACACGTGCATAACATTTAGCGATTGTGTTGTATCTTTAGACTGCAGAAAGTTTGACAGCTCCAAATGGGCGTCCGGCGTCTCAGCTGTCAATGAGAAATTTAGCCAGTGCAGTACCACTGCTAGCCTGGGGCCTTTGACGTGCATCATGCAGTAGTGATACACGACCGTGCACGCAGGTGTGATGCCCTGAGCTGGACACTCGGTGAGAATGTCGACGAGATTTCTGATTGGCCAGCGCCGCGCTTGACCTTGGCGCTGGCCAATCACAACGGTCACAGATCTCGCCGACTTTCTCGCAGCGTCGAGCTTAGATTCTTAGATCGAAACGTGCAGAAACACGAGGGCTAAAGCCCAGGTGCGAAAAATATAGTCCGAAAATCGTACAAAAATTGGAACCTGCAAAAATTGTTTCACGCTATTTACCGATAACCGAGCGTATTTCACGTAATCCGCAAATGTTGGCTCGTTAGAGGCATATATTTGGAACTTTTACTGAAAATACCATCCTCTAGTTCGGTTTTTGAAAAGGGATATGAAACTATTTTTGCGCGTTGCATATTTCGTGTATATTTTTCGTTTTTTTTTTTTTTTCAGCACTGAGTCGAGTACATCTAATCGAGTACACCTAGCATACGAAGTAGAATACTATACATACAGTGTACCTTCAAAGTAAAGTACAAGTACTTTCTACACAATCTTGCATGGTGCCCTATCATTCCGCTATACAGTGTTGTTTCTTTACCAGGTATGCAATGCTCCAGGGGTAATCGGGGGTGCATCAGTCATATTCGAAAATGGCGGCAAATGCTGGTTACTTCCGAAAATCGGGTCAAACTCAGAAGTCCCTCCGACTTTTGAATTTTTCGCCGCTCACACTGGCTTGCGGCACCCGAGGGAATTAACGTAATAGGGGAGATAGCATGACGTCAGCCCCGTAGCTTTCGCAAGCATTTCTCTCGTGGAGGAGTGTCCTCTCCTAATATTTTTAACCTCCTGGATTGCATTGACCAAGAGAGAAGTAGCCAGGGGTCCAATGCCACGGGAAAGCCGCCCCAGTACAAGCGGAGCGACGCTTCGTCTGCTCGCGTTTCTGGCGACAACAATATCCCTCCCAGTATTTCTTCATAGTTGACAAAGCATCATCTTGTGATACAAGAATATCCCTCCCAGTATTTTTTAATAGTTGGCAAAGCATCACCTTGTGATGCAAGAATATCCCTTCCAGTATTTCTTCATATTTGACAAAGCATCGTCTTGTGATACAAATTTATAGTACTTTCCTCGAAAAGTAGAGGAAAAAATTATTTCAGTAAATGAAAAATATACGCTAAGAGAATGTACTTCAAGTAAAGTACAAGTTTCCTAAACCTACTCGAAATAGTATTCTAAGTACAATGCACTTAAAGTACTTACCAACACTGGGTTTTTCGCTCATGCACGTCCCCGCCTTTAAAAAGACGACCGAATTTTCAAGACGCGGCCAAGATGACAGCGAAAATCTACGTATAGCTCCATCCGTGCATTCGTGTTTTAAAATTGATTGCTGTTCCAGCTTTCCGGAAACCTTCAGAGAGCATATCCCGAGCCGCCTTTTGACCCAGTCCCTTTGACTTGCCTTGCAGGGTGCCGAGTACGAAGGCATGGACCAGTTCCCCAAGCTGATCGAGTACTACGGCCGCGTGAAGGCCGCCCTCCCAGAGTACGATGAGGAAGCCGCCGAACCCGTGGGCCTCATCCGCCAGATGATCGCCAGGGCCAAGAGCGGACAGAAGGTGCACGGTCCTCCGACGGACAGCAAATGAGCTCCGGGGAGGTCGGCTGCACCAAGCGAGTGCTTCACGCTCAGGCGTACGCCTTCTCATCAGCGTCTTCACTTAGTTTTCAATCTTTTTTTTTGCATGGAAAGGGGGGAGGGGGTGCTGTCGACGACGACGACGAGGAACATACTGATTTTATTACTGAACCAATAAACGCTGTCCTTTTGAAAATGTTGCCTGTACTTGTTTTGCATGTCTATTTTTTGGTGTTGTGTTTTTTGCATTCAAGTGTTTTTGGTTTTCTTACCGGCCAATTTCGGGTTATTTAGCATCATGGTAAACTTCCACCAGTGCTCGCAAGCCCTGTCTTTGTCCCTCACCAACACGCCCCTATTCAATCTGTTGCAGCATTCATCTGGTGACCATATTTGATTCACTGATGGCTTCTGGCATATCTCCAACAGGCATGTGGTCGCCTTATACCCGTGCCACACGGGCAACTCGAATGCCATTTACAACGAATTACATTTGTGTGATCGGCGAATCAGCTCGCAATCTGTCGCGCGTGGAATGGGCTACGTCCGAAGTATCGAGCACTGATTGGCCGTCCGCTCGAATGTCATTCGTTGTAAATGGCATTCGAGTTGCCCGAGTGCCACGGGTATTAGTCTCCCAATCGCGCTCGGTTTTCTCTCTTCGGGCCCCAATTCGAATGCATAGATTCCTTCCGGGCCCCCTCTCAAGCCTCCCTTAATCTTGCTGCCCCTGTCGCACCTTAATCTTGCTGCCCCTGTCGCAAAAGACCCTAATCCACAATTCAGCACCATGCCGGAATTGAAATATTTCGTGGAACGCCCCAAAACATTTCAGACATACTCTGATAAATTAGTTTCGACATGCAGATTAATTGAAATTAATGGGATACACACTTACAATAAGAATTACCATTTTCGGAACTGTAGTTGTTACTATCGTTGTTACTATTTTATACTCTCGTGTTATGTACCCCCCTTATGTAATGCCCTCAACGAGGGCCTTTAAGGGAACTTGAATAAATAAATAAATAGTTCAATTTTATTGAATGATACTTTTGGAAACTAGGGTGCATAGGGAAGATGCACAAACTAGGGTTTGTGCATCTTCGCTTCTTTTGCCTTTATTAATTCAGAATGCGAGGAGGCAGTGAATCCCTGAACGTTCTGCTCTCTCGTTTTATAGGGGGGAAAGGAGGAAACGTCACGGAACGGCTGGAGCGAGGAACAAAAGAATAAATGGAAAGATGGAGGGAGGGAAAGCAGAAAGGAGCGTTCAAATTCAAATCCGACCTATCGGATCGCAGCTTTATGGTGACTGCGCTCCTTGGACGCGAAGGGCGCTGTGTCTTCAATGATCCCTGACAAGCTGTTGGTGCATGCCTAGATTTTTACACAAACACAGCCGACGAGGAAGCGACTGTGGAGAAAAAGTACATAATGCTCAAAATCAAGTTCTTTTCGTTTCGTTTTTGCGCAAGACGTACGGTTCAAATTGAAGGGAACGCCCACCCTCTACATATAAATACAATTCGCTGGTCAGCTTGTGCGTTCTCTCTGGGAGGACGCAATACTGATCTTCTACAAAGTGTGACAATACCTGGTGTGATATTTGAAGGGAACGCGAAAAGGGGACATGGTAGTGCGTGTGTTACCAACCCGGCTATAGCCCTAGAATTAGTCGAAAAGATCGGCGCCCATACGTACCGATTTCAAATTTTCATCAAAGATGTAGTATAATGCTGGGTCTTTTTCCTCTGAAATTTTAAGGCGTAGCTCTCTTCCAGTGAAAAGTGGGACTAACACCCTTGACATGGTCAACGGCAGACGCCACCGGCGCGTACATACGATTGAATTAACGGGAGGTAGAGAGCCTAGATTGAAGAGAGGGTCAATCTTAAACCAAGGGGGGCGTTTGCGGACGATTTGCGGACGATCAACGATCAACGCTTTCATCACCTCCTCGTAGCTCGTATTGCAAGCGCGGTTCGGTGGTGGTTGTGCTTGCGACGCCATCTCCCGAAAGGCGCAACAAGCAGGCAACGCGCCCGGTCGAAAGCAGACGACACCAGTCGTCTGCTAACTGCGCTTGTCGGAAGATGGTGCCACGAACGGAATCTTCGGTCAACTATATTGCGTGGATCGGCGTCTGCCGTTGACCGTGTCACAGGTAATGTTCCAGTTTTTCGAAGGAAAGCAGCTGCACCTAGAGAATCCACAAAATAAAATGCATAACTAAAAAAAAAAACAAAAAAAACACCTTTGATTGAAATTTTAAATCGCTGCGTGCAGGCGTCGTTTTTTTTTTTTTCCGGACAATTTTAAGCCAGTTTTGGCATTGACCACACACTTCATATAGTATCTTATATTACCAACATATGACACATTTGGAAGGATGCAGTTGCCCTACTTAAAGATAAAGAGAAGAGAACAAGATTTTTTTTTGTTAAAGTGTGTTTATAAATTAATGGAGTTCACTTAGCTCTTATCGGCAATTTATGTTCATGTTCCAATACGATTTTGTCGAGTTTATCTAACTTCCTTTGTTAAGCAGATCATCACAACCACTCCCATGACCCGCACTCAGCACTTCTATAATAATGTCGGTGTACTTTTTTTTAACGTTTTTAACTATATGATGTTTCAGTTGATTTTGACAAATCCATTATCTACGTGCTGTGCGTCATTATTACGGCATTGGCTGTTCGTGGCTATGTGAAATCAATAAATCAATGTCCAGCAAACTTTCAGGGATTGATTGAATCCTCTATAATTATCATCTCATGTTGCCCCTTTCAGCTATAACCTTGTCACTTTTAGTTTGACTAAAACCATTATTAAACATTGGCGAGCAAGCTTGCATTACACGTATATAAAAAAAATTCATTGTTTTGCCGAGTGTATTTTTTTTTCTTTTCGAGTTAACTAGTTTGCCTGCTTTTTAAAGGAACGTTTCAATTTTTTTTAATACTCGGGTATGAAATTAAGTGCAAATGTATTTAAGGTGATCGGATACGGGTGGTGCACGGAAGTACCCGATGTTAAATGCCCGATGTTAAATACCCCGTATCAAATGCCCCGCGCAAGCGCCTTACCATTTTTGCCCCGCTTTCAAAAGCCACAGTTTTAGAAGCCCATGAAGGGAATACCCCGTGTCAGAAGGCCGGGTCATCAACGTGACCGCGGCGCACTCTGCTTTTGACTAAAAGAGAGGAAGTGTGCACGCGAGCTTGTGTAACGTAATCGTGCCGTATCCGGGACTCAAGTAAGGAATACCTGAAGAAAGCTTCCCGTTCTACAGACTTGTGTTATAGACATTCACATCTTGCGACGCTAGAAGGGAAAACAAACAAAAAATATCAGTCATTGGCAAAAATATTTGAAGTTAGAGTTTTTATCAATAACCACTGAAGAAATGCTTTCGGCGAATGAAGCACGCGCCGATTCACAATTCGGACGAAGTGGGTTCTGTCATAACTGTTAATGGGAAACTGAAGCGGGTCGATATTTGAGTAAAACCACTTATATCGTCTTCATTTTGCCTCCAGGATGACGAAAATTGAGATTATTTTTAAATTTAGTGCACGAAGGCTGCAAAAAATGTTTTTTTCAAAGTACCACTTGACACCACGCTCCTTCCAGGAGTGTGACGTCATAAAAGGAGTTTTCGGAATCTTCGATCTCGCGCATCTTCGGCGCCTATCAAAGTATATGCACGCGCACTCTTGCTTGTTTCAAAAAGGTCAGAAGAAACGTCACGGCTGGTGTCAGCGCGGGGGGATACACCTGGCAAGCTTGTGATCACACGCGCTGTCCACACGAGCGACACGCGCTTGAAGGCCGAAAGATCCGTTTATGGCGTAAGGACTGGTCGGAGGTTTTTTATGCTTTTGCGTGTTTAGTTACATCTTCTAGGAAAACGAGCCTGATATTCAGATTAACGGGATAGGAATACTCGGGAATGCATCTCTGAGTCGTTTTGTTTTTTTGTTGTTTTTTTTAAGAAAAATTTTTGCTTTTCTTTAACCCACAGCTCATGGTGCCATACTCATCACATGAGCAAACACTAGTTCCATTTATTTATTTATTTACAATTACCCTCAAGGCCCCAAGGGGCATTATAGAGGGGAGTGGTTGGTTAGTAGAGTTCTAAATTTCGCGTTATCGGTGATGGAGACGATGTCATCGGGAAGGCCATTCCAGTCCACAATAGCTTCTGGTATGAGCGAATGTTGATGGGCTGCTGAAGTGGTCTTGGGACGGGCGATCTTGCATGAATGATCCACTCTTGCAGAAATATAGCTGGGCGGGCTGAAGAGGGACTGTCGTAATGGTTCAGGATATGAAGAAGGCAAAGACGGGAAATTCTGCGACGAACGGAAAGGTCAGGAAGAGTTAATTGAGATTTCATTGCAGTGACACTAGAAAAGCGATAGTAATCAGAAAGAATAAACCGAGCAACACGATTTTGAACAGATTCGATTGCGTTGGTTAGGAAAGCCTGATGGGGATGCCAGATAGCTGAAGCATACTCTAGTTTAGGGCGAACAAGCGTGACGTAAAGAAGACGTTTGAGGTTAGAAGGAGCAGACTTGAAATTGCGACGGATATAGCCAAGTGAACGGTTTGCAGAGGATATTGTCTTGTCTACATGAACATTCCAGGACATATTAGTGGTTAGATATACGCCAAGATACTTGTACTGTGCAGCAGTCTGAAGGGTAATGCCGTTGAGTGTTAAAGAGTTTAAGGGCTGGGAGGAGGAACGTGTGAAGCAGAGGTGCATGCATTTGTTAATATTAAGAGACATTTGCCATGTGCGGCACCATTCAGCAATTTTGTTAATGTCGTTCTGGAGTGAAATATGGTCGTTTGGGCCTTTTATTAGTCTATAAACAACGCAGTCATCAGCGAAAAGACGAACAGAGGACGATAGGTGAAGAGGGAGATCATTAATGTAGATTAAGAAGAGTAAGGGGCCAAGCACAGTTCCCTGTGGAACACCGGAAGAAACGGGAGAGAAAGAGGAGGACGTGCTGTTAGCGAAAACGAATTGAGAGCGATGAGTAAGGAATGATTCAATCCATTGAAGAACAGGAGGGTCCAGTTTTAGCGAACTAAGTTTAAAGAGAAGGCGGTTGTGTGGAACTTTATCAAAAGCTTTGGCGAAATCAAGAAAAACAGCGTTAGTTTGATAGCCAGTGTCAAGA